TATTTTTTTATATTTTATATTTAAAATAAATATAACCTTTAAAAATTATATATTAAGAATTGCACATTTATACAATTCTGATATAAAAAGGATGATATAATATTTTATTTTTAGAGTGAATTACAAAGGATACCATCGAATGCAGTAAAATATTAAATGGAATATTAAAAATCTATGTTCTAATAAATATAAAATATTCAATATCAATATATGATTATAATAAATTCTTAATATTTTTTTAATATTTACTATGATAGATTATAACATAATTTATTGTATTTGTTATATGAATTAAATAAATATTAAAAATTTTCATTATAAAATATTTATATATAAATAACAATAAAAAAATAAAAAACAATAAACAAATAAAAATAATTATAACGGATTTTTCTTAAAAAAAAAAAACTATTATATTTGAAGGTTTCGATCAATAGATTGGAAAATAAATGAAAATATTTTGTAATATTTTTTTCTTTCGTTATATATCAGATATATATATATATATAATTAACATTATAAATCGAATCAATTATTTGTTCAATTAAATATTTCAAATTAAATATTTTTAATTTATTTATTAATTGTTTTTAAATTGATTCATTTTATTATTAATGAGTTTTATATTTAATTGTTATTTACAGAAAGAATTTGAAATTGTAATTCTAATTCTTAACGATAAAAATTAATATTTTTTATTTTTGCAATTATTAATATTAATAATCAGTTTATTTGAAAATTTATTTTAATATTGTTTTTACATATTTTCTAATTAACGAAATTAGTTAACGGAAATTGATTAACAAAATTACTAATCATTATGATTACGAGATTTGAAATTATTGTCTCGAATATTTATAATTTATAGTATTTTTTTATATTTATATAATATAGACCGAAAATTTCATAACATGTTATTTATTATTATGTACGTGAAATAATTTTGTATATAATACTTTATTGAATATATTATTATTTGAATATAATACTTTAGAATTTTTAACAATTATCTTTTATATTTTTTTTTGTTTTTAATTATTTGTATGATTGCTATTACTTTATTCATTAAATAAAATTAAAAAAATTATGAATAAAAAAATAATAAAACAATGAAACAACAAAATTTATAAATATACATATAATTAAACAATTTTAAGTATATTTAAATTAATTTGTACGTCTTAAATAGTCGAAAAATTAATAAATATAAATATATATTTATTAAAACATAAATATATGTTTTCATAATGAAAACATAAATTATTAATTATTAAAATAAATATGTTTTAATTTTCTTTTTAAAATAAGATTTATTAAAAAGATTAAATATTGATTAACTTTTTATAATTGATTATGAATATATTTGAATATAGATTTATTATTTTTATCATATTTTTGTCATATGTAATACATTTAAATATATATTATGTTCTAACAATTCTAACTGAATTTAAAAAAAATCAATAATATTAGAAAATCAGTACTATTATTTTTTTCTAATTAAATATTTTAAGATTCAAACTTAATATTCTAAGATTCAAATTTAATTTCTTGTCATCGTCATTATCAAGTTTTAATTGAAATAGAATTTGATTGAAATTTAACTGCGAAATTTATTTAAAATTAAAATCAAATAAAATTGTATAGATATAGATATTTAATAAATAATATTAATTTTATAATATTATATTTTAATATATAATATTTTAATATATAAATGATATTATATATTTTTAGTATAGTGTTACTTTTGGAAATCGATTCCAGAAGGAAAACGAACGGCCATGTTACAAAGATAGAGCTATCTTATTTTATTTTTGTTTTATTTAATACAAATTTCAATTGCTTATAATTTATAATAAATATCAGTTTTCTAATATTTTTACTTATCATACATTAACTTTCATATTTATTTTGATCTCTAGAATCGATCTTTCAAAAATATGCCACGAATATACTAACATTTTATAT